AAAAGAACAAACTATACTTAGAGTCTCTAAACAAGCTGTTGCTGATCTTTCATTTTAAAAAGCATATTTTTTGCTTTTTATAAATCAGGTAATTTTTTTTTTTTATATATTCATCCTGGTGTTTTTGTTCTAATAACTGTCTACCTAAACACAAAGAGAAAAATATTCTGAGACAGAAGAAGTGCGTCTACAGTCTTCTTGAAAAGAAATAACTTTGAGTTGTTAATGTTTATCTTTTTTCTTAGTTGCGCTAGCATGTTTGCATTTGCATTTGTTAACTATTATTGTTTTATGGTATTTAAATTAAAGTTTATTTATTAACAATATTATTATATTGTCTAGCATTATACTATTCTGTCCTTATTTATTTAAAATTATTTAATTATACATTTTAATATACTGCTTAGAAGTATTTAATATTGTTAAAGTTATCACTCTATGTAATATATATATATATATATATATATATATATATATATATATATATATATATATATATATATATATATATATATATATATATATATATATATATATATATATATATATATATATATATATACATAATATATATTGAAGTAATTAATATTATAAAAGGTATCGTTATTTATTATTTATGTTTATTTCTACTTGTTATTATGTATTTTATCTTATGTTACAGCTTTATTATTAACTATACTTATTACAAACAGTTACTGATTTTATAATCTATGTAATCATATTATCTTCTATACAACTTATTAACCAATTATGATACTAACTCTACTTTACCAATACTTGTCAATAGTTGTCTCTCCTGTCTTGTATTAGTAGTACTTTCATCAAATCCACTATTATATTTAAAACTGTATATGAAATGGCTGTAAAGTTTTTATATGGTATCTGTTGCAAATCTGTATCTGATAACCATAAAGCCATACAATATGACTTGTGTAATAAATGGATTCACACAAAGTGTAATAAACTTGATACAAAAACCTACATCTCTTTAATGAATGAAACAAGTTTTAGTATTGATGCAAGTGTCTCAATGACACTATACCATCCTCATCACTAACAGATAAAGAATTAAATCTATCTTTAAATAGAGCGAAAAAATATCACGTGAATCTGTATACATTGCACCATTAAACCTCAAAAACCTCTTCAAAAACTTAATGACCTCAAAAGTAATAATATGAGTTGTAAATACTATGATACAATAGCATTCAACTTGCTACAATGATGACCTTAAATGTCTTCTTTCTCTTATGGAAAGCAAACCAATTATTATTGCCATAACTGAAACACGTCTGCAAAATAACGATATACCGATAACTGATATATCCTTACATGGCTATCTATTTAAGCATCTATTTAAATCCAAAAAAGAGCACAGGTCCCAACAGGATTCCCACAAATATACTTATCTTAGCATCAAAAAAACTAAGTTATCCATTAACCGCTATAATTAATGAATTTTTTAAATCTGGAACATATCCTGACCTATTTAAAATTGCTAGGGTTATTCCAATCTTAAAAAAAGGCTCAAACACAAATCATCTTAATTTTCGACCAATATCACTACTACCTAATATAAGTAAACTGCTAGAAAAATTTATGTATAAGAAATTAGAAAATTTTTTAAGCCAGCACAATTGTTTATATAAGCTTCAGTTTGGATTTTGCAAATAACACATTTACTTGCGGGGTTGTTGACTTACAGAAGGCATTTGACACTGTGGATCATGGAATTCTGTTATCAAAGTTACATCATTATGGTATCAGAGGAGTTGCTCACTCATGGTTTAAGTCATACCTGTTGAACTGTTCTCAATTTGTTACTATTTCCAATGTCTCTTCTAATACTAAATCAATATCTGTAGGTGTTCCCCAAGGCTCCATTCTTGGTCCTCTCCTTTTTGTTATCTACATCAATGACTTAAAAACATGCCCTAAGTTCTCAAAAACATATCATTTTGCTGATGACACTAATGTCCAAATAACTAAAAAATCACTTAAAAAAATGAATCAACACCTTAATTACGACTAAATAAAATATTCCTTAATGTTAAAAAAATTGAAATAACTCCATTTAAACCACACTCCGTACAAAGCTAGCAAAGATCAGGCATTTTGTTAGTTACAAGACTCTCATAAATATATAGTATGCTATATTTAACTCGCATATGCTTTATTGCTGTCAGAGATGGGGGCAAAATCAGTCAAAGTATACAAAGATCATAGAAAAACCTTTAAAAAATCACTTGAAATAGTTCACTTCCAATCTAATAGATTTGACTCTACAATCCTCTACAATCTCTCAAAAATTATGAATCTAAAAGTTCTAATATTCCTACTGAATTGCACTAAAAGTTCTGATATTCATACTGAATTTTGCAATTGTATGAAAAAATTTACATAATAACTTACCTATAAGCTTCAATAGTTTTTAAAAATTTGTTAATAAAAGTCATTGCCATAATCTTAGATCAGCATCATGTAACAATATTGTAATACCTTTAAAGCAAACACTTAAGTATGGCATTAATTTTGTTAAATATAAATCCATTAAATCATGGAATTATCTTCCCTCTGAAATCAAGACAACGTATCTAAAAAAGGAAGTAGAGCTCTCTTCATCAACAAAGTCAAGGAATTTATCCAAGATAAAAATAACAAGTAAAGCTTCTGCTGTGATATTTATCTCAATAATTGTTTCTCATGTCATTTTGACCTTATCCTTTTGACCTTTTAAAATCAAGTAGTTTTTGCCTCTTTTTTTAAATAATATGCTATTGCTGATGTTCTTGTTACTGTTTCTATTTAAAAGTCTGTTATTTATTATTTGTAGTTTTTTTTTTTTTTTTTTTAATTCTTTTCTTTTTTTTTTTTTTCTTTTTTGTGTCTTTTTGTTTTTTTTTATTATTTTAAGTGTTGATTTTTTTGTTTTTATTTTTTATTATCATTATTATATTATTATTATTATTTTTATTATGATTATCATATTACCTGATATTTTTATTCATGTACTAGTATTTTATTATACATTTTGTCAAATTTATATAAAACTTGTAGGTCGACACTTGTAGGTTGTCACTTGTAGGTCGTCAGTTAAATAACTGTTTGTGACTGATATGAACTTTGTATTTACTTTATAAAGTGAAATAAATAATTTATTGATTGATTTATTTCAAGGCACTGGACATCATCAATCTTCATTGTTGGTGTTTCACTGCAATACATCATAATACTCTGGACACATGTGGTGTATAATCAAATAACAAATCATGAAAATTTAATTTAACTATGAAATACAAACATAATTTTGTAAAAAAACAAAATTCAATACTAAATAATTCTTATATAATCAAAAAAAAAAAGGAAAAATTAAAAATTAAAGCTATAACAGATAAAAATGTGATGTTATAACCAATAATAAAGCATATAAAACACATTAAATACATTTTCAGTTTAGTATTTAGAAAAAAAAAACACAAAGCAGCAACACTCCATTATTTGAAAAAAAAACAATATAAACAGTGCATAGAAAAAAAATTTATAATAACATAAATAAATCAACAGGTGTTAAGTACATTCAAGAATAATAAAGGAATGCACATAAAATTTATGTACCCTGATTAATTATGATGATTAATTATATATTAGTCTAATATTTAATTAATTAAATATTAAGTCTAATAATTAAACTTAATATTTAATAAGTCATTTGAAAGTACTATTTTAACAAGCTTAAGGTTAAGCTTATGGTTACATACAAATTCAACACATTTGAAATTTGCATTTGAAAGGTGAAAAACTTGAATCAGATAAAGAAAGACTGATTTCTTAAACAACATTTTTGTAAAATGACAGCGAGCAAAATTAAGAGGAAAAAATACATAAAAACAAGCAACTCCTTAAAAAACTCCGATTATAAACTTATTGCACTAAAAACAGGGAACAAAAAAACGTTAAAAAAAGATTTTAGTAATTATGAACTAGAAATTTTACCTCTAATTTTTTTAAAACCGAATTACAAATATAATATATATATATATATATATATATATATATATATATATATATATATATATATATATATATATATATATATATATATATATATATATATATACATATATATGTATATATATATATATATATATATATATATATATATATATATATATATATATATATATATATATATATATATATATATATATATATATATATATATATATATTTACGTACCTCTAATATGAGGAAAACTAATCAATGCAACATCCTTAATAGTTGCAGCTTCCTTTGAAATTTGCGACAAATCACGTTTTAACTCAAAATGAGCAAGATGCAGTTCATCTTTGATACGCTGGGGTATTTTGGAAAAAAACTCTTTTGAAATGTCTTGCCCCATGCAAAAAAAAAAAGGGTAAAAAAAAAACAAACTATTTTTATTTAATATTTTTTTGAACTGGTAACTTCTAAATTATAAATTTTATATTCCGCTTTTTACTCCGACGGAAATCGAAACCTAAACAATGCAAGCAGACCGAGAGAGTTTTACACTGTTAAAGCATTATTTTTAAGCTAAAACTGATCGTGTCATATTAATCAGCTTGAGAGCTGATAGTAAGTGTAATGTTTCGTCTTCTTTTAAGAAATATAATTATAAGAAAGAGAATTGCTTTAATATTTGTTTGACATTTGTTCCTATATCTATATATTAAATTGTTACAACTAATTACTATATTAACTGTGTTTTCTCGTGTCGTTATTTCAACCAATTAGGGCTTCCAGAAAAAACTTTTTTTCAAAAGTTTGAACCTAAACATGTTTGAACTATTTCGAACTATTTGTTTTAGTTATGTTAAAACAGACAAAAGTAATACAAAGTTTGCGTAAAAGAATTTATTTGTTAATCATTGTTAATTAGGACATATATATATATTTAGGACATATATATATATATATATATATATATATATATATATATATATATATATATATATATATATATATATATATATATATATATATATATATATATATATATATATATATATATATATATATATATATATATATATATATATATATATATATATAATAAATAACATCAATGAGTACTTTTCATAGTTTGCTTTAAAAAAGTTAGTGCATCTAAAGTTTCCTCATTTAAAGAACTTTTTATTTAGTAGCAAAAAGTCCAAGACTAGAAAAAGCTCTCTCAACTTCTACGGATGAAGGAGGAATGGTTTAAAGAGCTTTGAAAAGTAAATCTAAATACTTAAGCTTTGTTCAAAAGGAAATAGCTGTTTTTGCTAGCTTCAAAAACAGCCATTTCCTTTTGAACAAGGTTTGTTCCGATTTCCTGATGGTCAAGTTTTATTTCAATTTCTGATTGTTCAATAAATAGTTTGAGTTGTTGAGCTAAGTTCGATTCATTTTTGATAGTTTTTATGTTAGCAGTTATACTATCAGTATTTATTTCCTTGTCATCATCAGAGCTATTGTCAGATGCAGAGCCGGCGCTAGACACTAGGCAGACTAGGCAGCTGCCTATAAAATATAAAAAATCTAACTAAAATTATAATTTTATAATAATTATAAAAATTATATATAACGATGAGAAATTTTCCATTTCCAGTAATTGAGCATAAACTGCAAGGCAAATTAGCGTATCACTCGCAGGCTTTAGGCCAAGGCAACATGTAGTGTTTTAATGTTATTAAATAGTGACTCCTGCTTCTTGTCTCTCGTCTGTGCTTATATTAATAAACTGAGAGATAATTAACAACTTGAGTTGCATTTTCCAAATAAAGTAAATATTTTCTTTTTAAATTATAAACACAACAAACAAAATTGTATATTATCCGTTCGCTGTTCCTCATGTTCATTCGATCGCCCGCATATTCAATCAGTTATTTCACATTCATTCGCTTGCGTTTGGTTAACGAGTACTAGATACTTCTTCTGTCTGTCTCTGATTCTTTGAATAAATGTTAATTTAACCCTTTCCCTCCGCAAGCCGCTGATAGCGGCTTTTGATTTTTTTTTATTATGACTGCAAGCCGCTGGTAGCAACTTTGGAGTATGCTTCACAATTTATCCTGTTTTGTGCATAAATCTAGACACATAATTTGTTTTTTCTTAAAGTTTCATTAGTTCTCTACATAATCAAGTACAAGTATGAGCCATAATGTGTAACTATAATTAGTTATCACTTGTCAAAGTTAAAAAATCTCAAGTAATCCTTGATAAAAAATTTTTTTTTTAAATTTAGTTCGTAATTAGTAAAATAAAGCAGCGTTAACACTGTAAAAATTAACTTGTAGAAGCGTGGGAGTATTTAGCTAAGTAATTACAAAGGTTTTTTTTCAAGAAAAACGTTCTTTTTATACATTAAATAAGTTTTATTTCGGACTTTATGTTTTATTTATTTTATTTTTATTTTTTTATGTTACTATTTATAAAAACGATGGTTTAAGTATCTTGCATTTCTTACTGTTCAACGATGCGTGTTAAAAACTTATTTAATTAAAAAGTTCATTTGTTTATCTTTCAATTAATATATAGTTTGTAACAAACTATATATTAATTGAACAAAGCTAACAAATTCTTACGCTTTTAAAAAGATATACTATTCGAATTCTAATTAGTTTTTTATGTTATTTCATCTAAATTTTATTCAAAAAAACGTGCGGTCACAGCGAAAAGATTTTTGTTAAAACGGCGGTAGCGAAAGAGTCAAGTGTTGACTATTATATTTTATTTATAATAAGTATTTAACTGACAATATTCTTATCGATTGAAAAGGTAGTGTATTACTTCAATTCTACTATTGTACGCTAGCAAGTAATAAGTAAATATTTTATAATTACACATTTCTTACGTTTTTTAACCATGTCTGAGAAAAAGAGACTATCAGTAAAGAAAAATAAAGTCAAAGAAAAGCTATTTTGAAATATTTTCGAGCAGAAACACATTCTACAGGTACTGTGATAAGTGATAAGTGATGTGATAAGTGATAGTTGACGATAAAACTGTTAATAATGCTAATATTTCAAACCAACAAAATGAAGTTGTAAATATCAATGAAAACCAAATTTATCTACCTGAAGCAACTCCTGCTGTTAATATTTCAAGACAAATTGAAACTGAAACTCAAATTAGCATATTATCATCTGCAGACTACAGTGACCCTGCAAATTGGCCTACTCATTTTAGTGACAATTTTCGGCAATTTGTTATAAAAAATAGACCGCAACAAATTGAAAAATATATCTTTCCACGAGATCGAGATGAACAAAATATAAAATTTTTATCAATCTATTACAAGCGGACATTACCAAATGGAGAAAAGTCTCTCGTTCTTGGCTTATATATTCAGTTTCAAAAAATGTAGTTTTTTGTTTATGTTGTAAATTATTTGGTAAAAGCAAAAGTAGTTTGCCGGCTTTAGAAGGTTCAGGTTTAAACGATTGGAAGAATATTGGAGCACTTCTTTCTTCTCATGAAAAAAGTAATTCACATCTCGTAAATTTTCAAATGTGGAAAGAACTTGATATACGTTTATCTACAGAAAAAACCATTGATCATATTAACCAACAAAAAATTAATGAAAAAGAACAATAATGGCAACGAATTTTAGAAAGATTAATTGTCTTAGTCAGAGTACTGGCTACGCAAAACTTGGCATTTCGTGGAACAAATGAAAGGCTTTACAATAACGCCAATGGTAATTTTTTAAAATTTGTTGAGTATCTCGCTTTATTTGACCCATTAATAAATGAACATGTGCGGAAAATTAAAAATCAAGAAATTAAAACTGCTCATTATCTTGGAAAAGAAATTCAAAACGAATTAATACAAATACTTGCAAATGCTATAAAAGATAATATCTTGACCAGAGTAAAATTTGCTAAATATTATTCTATAATTTTGGACTGCACCCCAGATAATAGCCATACAGAACAAATGACAATAATAATCCGTTTTGTTGATTTAGAATCACCAACATCGCATGATGGGGATTTAGTTAAAATTAAAGAACATTTCTTAGGATTCATACCTGTGGAGAAATCTACAGGTGGTTTTTTGGCAAAAACATTAATTGAACAATTGGAAAATTTTAATTTACCAATTGAAAATCTCCGTGGACAAGGATACGATAACGGAAGCAACGAAAGCAAAGGATACGATAACGGAAGGGTAAGGAGAATGGGGTACAAAGAAAAATTTTGGATATAAATCCTCGGGCGTTTTTTATTCCATGCAGCGCACATTCACTAAACTTAGTTTTGAATGATGCATGCAAGTGTAGCTCAGATGCAATAAGTTTTTTTGGTGTGGTGCAACAGATTTATAGTTATTTTTCGGGATCACCTTCTCGTTGGCAAGTTTTTCGCAGCTATTTTCCAGATTTTACTGTCAAGTCATTAAATGATACAAGATGGGAAAGCCGCATTAATGCTTTAAAACCATTACGATACAATCTCGGAAAAATTTACGATGCTTAAATGCAAATATTTGAGAATCCAAGATTACAAACTACATCAGTAGGAAATTCTTCCCGAAATGAAGCTAAAGGGCTTGCAAATTCTATTTGCATATTCAAGTTCATGGTTGCCCTTGTTTCATGGTACGACATTCTTTTTGAAGTTAATATTTCTAATAAAATATTACAAAATAAGAAAGTTGATTTGAATGTAGCTACACAACAATTAAATATTACTAAAAACAAACTTGTAAAAATGAGAAATGATGAAGGCTTTCAAAGAATTATTGTTGATGCTGCTGAAATTGCAAAAGAATTGGAAACAGTAACAAATTTTGAAGAAATGTCGCGAGAAGGAGAAAAAAGCGACAGTTCGATTATGAAACACAAGATGAAGCGTTGCAAGATCCAAAAGAAAAATTTAAAGTTGAATTTTATTTTAAAATTTTAAACACTGCTATACAGTCTATTGCGGAAAGGTTTGAACAAATGCGACAGTATAATAGTTTGTTTGGCTTCCTTCATGATATTTATTCTATAAGTTCAAAATCTTCAGCAGAATTATTGAAAAATTGTAGAAATCTAGAAGAAATTTTAACTCATGGTTCTCAAAAAGATATTAGTGCATCGGATCTTTGTAATGAAATCAAAGTACTTTCTGGAAGACTCAAACAACAAATGACACCACATGAAGTACTAACTTTTATAGTTGAACAACGTTTAGTTGACTGTCTACCGAATATATGTATTTCTTTAAGAATACTATTAACACTTCCAGTGTCCGTTGCAAGTGGCGAGCGAAGTTTTTCGAAGTTAAAAATAATTAAAAATTATTTGAGGTCGACAATGTTACAAGAACGACTGGTGGGATTATCAATAATTTCGATAGAACACGAAGAATCATCAATATTAAATTTGAAAGAAATTGTAAAAACATTTGCAACAAAAAAAGCCAGAAAAGTAAAAATTTAAATA